GTGACTAAGGGGACAGCGCCGTTCCTTTGAGAGGGTGGCAGTCCACTTTGAACGTTGACCACCAACTGAAGTGGGCAATTTGCCGGAGTTTGCGCATCAATGGTTTAGGTTATATGTTGATCTGACCTCGACCTGTGCAGTAACAAGTTTACAATTGCTAAGATTCCACCTTAAATTATCTTTAGGTGGACTGGGCCTTGTTCTCACGGGACCAGATCTTCCCACAATGCAATGTGCCAGCGAGATTTAATGCTTTTACTTGTAACATCAATGAGTTTGTTTGGTAGTGATACATTTTGATAATTGATGGGTTTGCCTGTTACTCATTAACTAATATTATAGCAATTCAAGAACTGGTCATAAGAACTTTTTTGTATTAAATTATCAGGCCCCATGTGTGTCGTGCAGTCTTCACTGCTTATTATTTTCACTCTCTCTGGCCCTCTCTATTAATGTGCTATGAATCAGGGCCATCGCCAGAAACGTCACATATAATTTTAAGGCCGCAGTGTTATTGATGAATGTGTCGAGTTATTTCATATTGTGAGGGGCGATTGAACACGAGACACTTTCAAGAAGGGAATACTCACACTCGCTTAGACCTGGCTCCCAGTGCCTTCCACATGGCGGCAGTGCGGGAGAATCATGATTTTGCAGAGTGGACCGAGAGCTCTTCTAGGCAGCGATTAAAGCCTTGGGTCATCGATGGTGACGGACGATGATGTTGACGATGAAGCTGTGTAGAGAAATAAACTCTGCATCATCACCACAGTCACTCGCTGCTGCTGTTCGTGTCAGGACAGCCTGTTGCATCACTACTTGTGAATCCGCTTTCTGCAAATGTACCCTGTCCTCCGTGACGGTGTGATGGATACGTGTTTTTCCAAAGCAGTAACTTGAGTCTTTGTGGCTGAGCAACACGTGTGTGTGTGTCCGTGTGTGTGCGCACAGTGGGGAGTAGTGGCGCAGCGGTGAGCGCATTATGCTGCGACCCCGGAAACGAGTTCAATTCACGGCCAACATTGGGGACGAATATCCGCCCCATTGCTGGATCTCCCTTAGGTCGACTTAGCCTTAAAGGAGTACCTGGTACAACATCGGCTCTTGGGATTCAAAGGCAACCGGGCGTACTCCTGGCCACCCACCTTTTTCTAGTGCCGTGCCAGCTTCCATAGGTACTCGCTAACAGCACTTCCCTCAACAGTCTGTTTAGGCTATCCAGTAGATCTTTATTTTATTTTTCAACAGGGAGCAGTGGCACAGCGGTTTAGCACACTGCTCTATGAACCCCGGCGACCCGAATTTGATTCCCCGCTCACGACCAACATTGGTGACGCACACCCACACACTGATCCTGGGCCTCCCCTAGGTCGACTCGGCATAAACAATCATCGACGTGGAGAAAAAGGTGGCCCGTGCACGGCTGCTGGCCACATCGCCCCCTCGTGTGTGCTGTTTGAGCTTCACTGGTCCTGCTCACTCGCTAAGAGCACTTGGCTCCATCGGCAGCCTTGCCAAGGCGACGCAGGGGGATCTTGTGCGGGGTGGTGGAGCGCGTTGGAACTTTTGCGGCGACGCGTGTCGCTTGCCCACGTGTGTGTGTGTGTGTGCGAGCCAGCGAGTCAGCCTTCCCCCCCCCCCCCCCCCGCACGCTTTTGGAAAGAGGAAGAAAAGAGCGACGAGCAAACGTTGTCGAGGTTTTCCAGCCTCTTATTCTCCGAGCGGTTTCACTGCTCGGTCATTTGGGTTCCCGAAATTGAGTCGTTTCAGTTTCGCCCAGTGAAGACCAGCATGACAATAATCATAAAAATAATAGTAATGGTAACAATTGACATCCCATTGTCAACACACTGCTGGATTCAGGCCCCCGCGCACCATGGCAATCGCGGGTTCGGTTGGGATATCACTCGGATTGCTGGCTTAGTAGCGCATGAACCGTGCCGTCGGCCTCACCACACTTGTCTTGAGCCACCTTGCCCTCCGGAGACCCAAGCTTCTGGCTCGGTTGCCCTCGGTAACTCGTCGAGTGTTGGCTCTGCCCGCCGGTTTATCGTGGCGCTGCTTGGCAGAGGACAGTCGAAAGCTCGGCTGCTCCACTATCTCCACCATCTCCACCGTCTCCACCAGTCTCCACCATCTCCACCATCTCCACCGTCTCCACCATCTCCACCATCTCCACCATCTCCCCATCTCCCCCATCTCCACCATCTCCACCATCTCCACCGTCTCCACCGTCTCCACCATCTCCCCCATCTCCCCCATCTCCACCATCTCCACCATCTCCACCGTCTCCACCGTCTCCACCATCTCCACCATCTCCACCATCTCCACCATCTCCACCATCTCCACCATCTCCACCGTCTCCCCCGTCTCCACCGTCTCCACCGTCTCCACCATCTCCACCATCTCCACCAAGCGCAGGGTGCCCCCACATCTCCGGGCGCTCCAGTTTGCCGCGCGTAAATACTCGTCAGTTGGCCGATAACACCTTTATACAAAGAGGACCCCAGAGCTGGGGACCACTGCCTCGTCCCACTGTCGCCTGTGGTTCCTCCTTGCACCTCTTGAGTCGTCCTCTGTCTTCGAGAGTGGAGATCCCCTCCTCCAGCAGCGCGTTACAAAGTCGAAATTATTACAATTATGATCTCCGCTGGTGTGGGGCTCCTTTAATGAACTCGGCGTGGTTAGGGGTGTGGCGCCGCATAGGGCTGGTGCGTCCAATCGTGCGCTTACATATTTGTGTTTTATATTGATGCGCGTTGTGTACCGCTGGGGACACTGCCGTGGTGAAATGGTGAGCACACCGATCTCCTGGCACGACGGTTGTAACAACTGTGCGAGCTTCTTAAATCCCTGCCGCCACTGCCTCTGTCCACCCAGCCGGGTGGTATTTTGCGTGCAGTCGAGTAAAGAATCTGAGTTTAAAATATTAATTTACTCTGGAGTAATTCGATGATCTATAAAGCTCTTTCACAGGCGACCAATCGGGGGTGGGTGAGAACGTTGCAACAACAAACAATGCAAAAACACTATAGGAGGGCAAAGTATAGGAAGGGTTAACAAATCATTTGACAAAAGTATACAAGTAAAACTACATTATTTTTTATCTTGCCAGGTAAAGCCCACTGAGGTATTAACTACATGTTTTAGAAGCAACCTGACCACAAATGATAGCTCAACAGAGTGGCTTGTCGCTCGCAAAGTGTCGGTACTTGCACCTCTTCCAAGATGACTGGCCAGCATGGAAGAGTAGGCCAAGTATACCCTCTGGAGGGGCTGTCTAGAGCTCCCTCTCGTGGTGAAGGTTGCCACGGTGGCGGGATGTTAATTTACTCACCTGGTCGTGGGTTTGATCCCAACCCTGTGTCGCCTGCTGCTGTATATTTGGAGTTTGCATGTTCTTCGCGTGGATTTTTCTCCCAGTCCTCCGGTTTTTCCCTCCAAATTCACGAACTTGCGTTTAGATTATATGATTTGACCGCTATAAATGTCTTCATAATAAGCCACTTCATTGAGCTATCATTTGTGATAGCCAGGTCGTTTCTAAATAAAAAGATATATACCGCTCAGTGGGCCTTATTTGGTAAAATTAAAATAGTAGTTTAGTTTTTTGCCAACATTGGCGCCAGCGAGCAATTGCAGGACCGCAAACGTTGCATTTTTTTAAATTTGCAGATGATGCTGTAACAAAACTGCATCTGTTCTTCTAAGGAGGGACCCCTCTCCACACGTTCCCGTGAACGCTACGGAGCCCACAAACCGGCCGTGAAACTCCGCGCTTGACCGCCGCCTAGATTTGTAACGTTTTTTGGGCCAGATTGGCGTGAAGATCCTTAATGGAAGAAAACCGTTGAGGATAATTTTCGAGTTTTTGAGAGTTGTAACGTCACGCTGCGAAGTAGCGCCCGCGTGTCGGTGTGTGGGCGTTGCGTCTGACACGTGCGTGCGGTTCCACGCTTCCGTTGAATTTTTTCTGTACTGGCAAATCTCTCTTTTTCCCCACCCCCCGAACCCTCACCTCCCAACGAAACAGAGAGGCTCCCTTAATGGAGTGGCTTCGGCCGGCTCGGTTCACTTCAGCGGCGGCTGATGAAATGAGATAAAAATTGCGTTTGCTGCATGGCGTGGAAAATTTCGAGCTCCCACAGGTTTTTCTCAAACACTAAAATAACTGGAACTGGCAGCTGGGATTAAAGCTCGAAATGGGATTGGATTTTTTCCTTTGTACCGTTACACCCAGGCATGTACGGACGCGTAGATTCCAATTAACGCTTCCAACACCTTCGGCTGGTTTAAACTATCAATGTTATTCGTTGCTGACAGATTTGCCCAGTCCCGAGACTTGTGTTTTTTGAGGGGAGGGGGGAGGGCGCGGTTTGTGTTAGGTGGCGGGGGGGCCCTGATTGGTATGATTGGCCGATTCTTTTTCGAGTGTTTTATTGAGTGGCAGGAAATCAACGTGCCCAGAGAACCCCCACAGCCATAAAGCGATGACGGGAGAGCAGTCGTTCATCTGCGCACAATTGGCCTGCTTGCTTGTGCAGCCGCTGTAAACCACAACGTGCATAATATGCGCGTGCATTTGCTGCGTGTTGTATGTGCGCATGCGTGTGCGAGAGTCAATCTGTCTTGGACCTCCTCTAGATCGCCCCGGCCATAAATGAGTACCTGAAACACTGGCTGAGCTTCGGCACTTATGGAGATGAAGGTGTTTGGGCATTCTGCTGACCAAACCGCCTCGATGTGTGCCATGCCAGCCTGAATAGTTGCTCACTTACAATGTTTGCCACAATATTTTGCGAGGTTTAACGATGGATCTTTGTGTGTCTTTGTGCGCGTGTGTGTCTGCGCATCGGTGTGCGTGTCCCCCGCATGCGTGTCTGTCCTTGTATGCATGTCTATGCATGTAATGTCTGCCTGTGCATCTATTTTGTCTGTGAATGCATGTGTCTTCATGACTCTGCGTGTCTCTGCATGTCTGTTTGTGTCTGTGTGCGCAGCATTCACTGTCCGTACCACCCGGAGGCGGTGTTGATTGAAGATTACCGCGCGGGGGACATGGTGTGCCCCGAGTGTGGAGTTGTAGTCGGTCAGTAATCACCTCGGTGCCGCCGCGGTGCTAATGCGGTTGCTGCTGCTGCTGTTGCTGCTGCCCGCTGCTGTTGCTGCTGTTGCTACTGCCGCTGCTGTTGCTGCCGCTGTTGCTGTTGCTGTTGCTGCTGCTGTTGCCGCTGCTGTTGCTGCTGCTGCCGCTGCTGTTGCTGCTGTTGCTGTGGCTGCTGCCGCTCCTGTTGCTGCTGCCGCAGTTGCTGCTGCCGCTGCTGTTGCTGCTGCCGCTGCTGCTGTTGCTGCTGCTGCCGCTGCTGTTGCTGCTGCCGCTGCTGCTGCCGTTGCTGGTGCTGTTGCTGCTGCCGCTGCTGCTGCCGCTGCTGCTGCCGCTGTTGCTGCCGCTGTTGCTGCCGCTGTTGCTGCTGCTGTTGCTGCTGCTGTGGCTGCTGCTGCTGTTGCTGCTGCTGTTGCTGCTGCTGTTGCTGCTGCCACTGCTGTTGCTGCTGCCACTGCTGCTGGCACTGTTGCTGCTGCCGCTGCTGCTGCTGTTGCTGCTGTTGCTGCTGCTACTGCTGGTGCTGCTGCTGTCACGTCGACCTGCAGCGATTCATGACTCAGCCTTGCACCCCATCACCACCGCACCACTGCCCTGTCCCACAATTTTGGTGAATTCTCATGATTCAGTCGAATAACCGCTGCTCCACTAGGGGCCTCCATTATTTGTATTCTCGCTTGTGCCGTCTGCCTCGTGTGTTCCGTTCCTGTCGCCGGGCCTCCGTCGGTGTGCTCCATGGGCCTAAGTCTATGACGATTTCCGGTTGATATCCGTGAGTCAATAACGGCGGCGGCTTCTCTCGTGCGTGCGCGCCGTTCAACGGTCGTACCGCGTGCGATTCTACGCGCGAAGAACAGCGCACGTTGAACGATGTCAATCGCAGTACCCGCTTGATTGCTAGCCCGAGATTGCCGCCGGTGATGTTAAAACACCCAATAGACACCTATTACAAGGCATCAAGAGTGCACTAACCACACACACGCTTGTGGTAAGACATGCAAACGAACCAACGCTTTGAACGTGTACGACGAGTACCATGTTCCCAGCTGCCAAGGTGCTGCTCACCGGCAGTTTCGCCAAACCCCACCTCATCGGAACAAACAAACTGGACACGTTCTCGTCAGTAATGCTGCGTGCGACCTCGTAGCAGGCAACGTTGTGGACAATTGCCCCTTCCTCATAGCACACAGGACATGCCAGAGGGGCACGTGTGGATAAAGCAGAGTTGTGAGGCTGCACTTGACACCACGCGTGCCCAGTGAGAATGAAATAAAACAATTCTGGTGAGCGGTGTTTAAATTGGTGTGTGCTTCCCTCTGAAGAGGCACCGCTACTGAGCGCACGCCCCGACACCCGGCAGAGGCCACGGCGCCGTGGCCGATGCGAAATGTGGATGACGGCGCAACAGGTCGACGCGGTTTGGCTATTTCCCACGCAAATTAGCGCCCTGCTGCGGGCGACTTGCAACTGGCACTCGCGCGTGTCGGTGTTTTGGCACCGCTTCGTTAGCTTCAAATACCACGTGACGCGCCGCCGATGACGCGACGGCCCGCGTGTGCTAGCAGGCCCCCGTTGTGAATTCCCGCTGGAATGGTAGCGGCTCCCATCGATTGAAATAGGCCTTCAGGGGCCACTGTTAGCGTCTCGGGCAAAGCCCCCCAGTCGGTTTAATTTCCCTGAGAACGATTGTTTAAGGGCACTTTATACATTGAAATGATTATTTTTCACAGAATCCCTCATCGGCAAGAGTTAATACGAAAAAAACGGCAAAACGATGCCGCCTGGCTCTTGGTGGAGCAGATGAGATGGAACTCAACGAGGCGGACGCTAAACAAACAACCGTGTGAGCGGGAACAAGGGGGAGGGGCAGGTGAGGGCAGTTGAGCCCATTCTTGAATCGATTTCGCGGCCAGGAATTGTGACAACGACTTCTCCAAACGGCGGGTGGCTGGTGCGCACGCCCGGGTACGGTCCGTAGCTTCCCCCCCGAGGCGTCGCGTGAGGGTGCGCCGCATGCCACCGCAGAGCGCCGAGAAAGACTTCCCCCCTATATAGCTCAGTGGGCCTTACCTGCTAAAGTAAAACATAGTTTGGTTTTAGTCCAGATGGTTGGGGGGGCGGACGTATGATGGTCAGATATGCGACGTTTGCACTGCACGTATTTGTTTTTTAAAACATCCCCCCCTCCTCCCCCACCAGCAGAGCGCCCGCGTTGTTGTGGTGGTGGTGGTGGTGGTGCGGCGTGTCTCTTGTGTCTTGGCGGCGCGGCCCCCGCCCCGGTGGACTCTGTAACGCACGCCGTGTCCCAGGCGACCGCGTGGTGGACGTCGGCTCGGAGTGGAGGACCTTCAGCAACGACACCAACTCGAAGGACCCGTCGCGATGTGGGCGACGCGCAGAACCCGCTGCTCAACGGCAGCGACCTCACCACGCTCATCAGCAAGGTGACGACGTGGCCCCGGCGGGCGCAGTGCAACGCTCTGACCACGCGCCCCTCACTGGACTCCTTTTATAGCTCATAGGATTCCTCCTCCAGTATCAATACATATTCTGATGCAGTCAAATGGAACGCCCGACAAGATGGGCGATCGGCCCCAGTATATGAAAGTGTAGGCGTAGCATTGTGGGTATAGTCTCTGCTCATATACGGTCTTGTAGATAATTATCGAGGTGTCTATTGCATCGATCGATTCTGCTCATAGTCGATCCGACGGCCTTGTTGGAGTATCGATTCGGCGAGGGTTAATCACTGCGTCCGATACATTGGTATGGAATCCATAAATCGAGTAATCCCATTGGTTAGTACATAAGCGTCGTGTGAAACACCCCCTTTTATTTTGATTGGCTAATATCTGCACGATCGGTGATGCGTTTTCATCGCATTGGAGCGCTGCTCAGATGCCAAGGGTGGCGGAGCGCGGGCGATCCTCGGGATGGATGCTCGCCGTGCCGAGTCGTACACGTGTGCACGTGTCCACGTGTATGTTGGGTATATTTATAATTTCTGCAGACGTCATTAGGTTCTAGAACACCATGCATGGTGTCACGGTGGGTGTAAGAACAGCAGTGGATACTGCTGAACCTCCTGGATTCCCATGATGAGTGAGTGAATTAATTTAATTTCCTTAATATTCTTGGCGCACGCACCTCCCACCATTTGTCGTACAAGTGATGTGTGTTCTTCTGGTGAGCTATTCACGCCTGTGTAAATAGTAGTGATGTGTACCCTTCTGCATTTTTGCATCGTTGCTGTACATTATTTGTCTTTTGTCAATTTGGTGACTCGGCTTCACGCTCGCTGATGATAAGACTTCACCTGTTTAAACAAAATCACCTTGGCTCCTCTCGGCCACGCCGGCGTTTTTCCGTGTTGCCCTCTTAGGGCACAGGGGGCGGCGAGTTTCGACGAGTTTGGCAACGCCAAGTACCAGAACCGCCGCAGTCTCAGCTCCTCCGACAGGGCCATGCTCACAGCCTTCCGTGAGATCAACACAATGTCCGACCGCATCAACCTGCCCAGGAACATCGTGGTGAGCACTCGCGCTTGCACACACACACACACGCGTGTGACCCCGTGCCACGTTTGTGCGCGCGCACTCACCCCAACACTCTTTTAAGGCTAACGGGGGATATTTATCTTTTTGCTTGTCTGTGTGCGCGCGCTTGGCTCAAAGTCTCTTAAGGCTATACGGGGGATCTTTTTTTTTGTGTGTGTGTGTGGGGTAGTGGAAGTGTTGTGGCTATCGCACTACAATATGATGCGGGCAACCTGAGTTCTATTGACAGCCATGGATAAAATCAATGGTCATTATTTGAACCAGTGCTGGTCCTCCCCTGGGTCAACCCAGCCTAAAATTAGTCCCTGGTGTAAAATATCAGCATTGGGGCGATAGAGGCTGCCAGACGTGGTTCTGGTCACCCACCCCATCGTATACCATTCCAGCCATCATAGATGCTTGCAAACAGCCCTTGCCCCAACAGTTTGATCACGCTACACGGGGGATCTTTGTGTATGCGCATGTGTGTACGCGTGTATGCAACGCGTGTGTATGCGCACGCTTCAATGCGGAACGTTGTTTCGTGCTCTTGAGTGCTGCACGCTGCTCATGGTGTGCGCGCGCCCCCCGCCAGGACCGCACAAACAACTTGTTCAAGCAAGTGTATGAGCAGAAGTCCCTCAAGGGCCGCAGCAACGACGCCATCGCCTCGGCCTGCCTCTACATCGCCTGCCGGCAAGAGGGTGTCCCGAGGACCTTCAAGGGTAATCGCCGTCACGCGCACGCACGCACGCACCAACAAAGACAGAGATCCTTATTTTAGCCTAAACAGACTGTTGGAGCAAGTGCTGTTAGCGAGCAGCTTTGATGGCCGGCATGACACACGTGCGGGTGGGTGGCCAACACCCACACGCCTGACAGCAACAACAACAACAACAACCGCCATTCACCACTAAGTGGCGGTGACGTCACCACGACGCTTGTGCCAGACCATGTGCACCTTGAAACCACGTGAAGTGTCGAACGCCCGCTGGCAGGAGATCACGGGGCAGACCCAGCAGGTGCCACGGGTCGACTGACCGAGATGACCGAGATTACTGGCTGATGCACCACTTGTGCCCCCTACTGTGCCAACTTGTTGTGCTTTAGCCACCCGGCGCTCCGCTCGTTGTTGTGAGCCTGACACGCACATGCACACACGCACGCGCCAAGATCCCGCTCGTGTCCAAACCGTACAGACCCTTGCCCTGCTGGTTCCGCCCTGAGGCCTCTTTTCCTCCCCCACTGCCTTACACAGCCCCAGCCGTGCCACAGCTATCATGGCTTACACAGCTCTAGCCGTGCCACAACTATCATGGCTTACACAGCCCTAGCCGTGCCACATCTATCATGGCTTACACAGCCCCAGCCGTGCCACAGCTATCATGGCTTACACAGCCCCAGCCGTGCCACAACTATCATGGCTTACACAGCCCCAGCCGTGCCACATCTATCATGGCTTACACAGCCCCAGCCGTGCCACAACTATCATGGCTTACACAGCTCTAGCCGTGCCACATCTATCATGGCTTACACAGCCCCAGCCGTGCCACATCTATCATGGCTTACACAGCCCCAGCCGTGCCACATCTATCATGGCTTACACAGCCCCAGCCGTGCCACATCTATCATGGCTTACACAGCCCCAGCCGTGCCACATCTATCATGGCTTACACAGCCCTCGCCGTGCCACAACTATCATGGCTTACACAGCTCTAGCCGTGCCACATCTATCATGGCTTACACAGCTCTAGCCGTGCCACAGCTACCATGGCTTACACAGCCCCAGCCGTGCCACAACTATCATGGCTTACACAGCTCTAGCCGTGCCACAGCTACCATGGCTTACACAGCCCTAGCCGTGCCACATCTATCATGGCTTACACAGCCCTAGCCGTGCCACAGCTACCATGGCTTACACAGCCCCAGCCGTGCCACATCTATCATGGCTTACACAGCCCCAGCCGTGCCACAGCTATCATGGCTTACACAGCTCTAGCCGTGCCACAGCTATCATGGCTTACACAGCCCTAGCCGTGCCACAGCTATCATGGCTTACACAGCCCCAGCCGTGCCACAGCTATCATGGCTTACACAGCCCTAGCCGTGCCACAGCTACCATGGCTTACACAGCCCTAGCCGTGCCACAGCTACCATGGCTTACACAGCTCTAGCCGTGCCACAGCTACCACGGAGCCACAGGTGCTTGCGTGCGTGCCTCCTGCAATGAGCCTGGCGGGCCTCGTGCGATCTAACCGACGTCATCACGAGACGCCGGGTTGGGTTTCCCTCGTCGTCTGTGAGACCCCACCACCCTGCCTACCCCTCCCCTCTCACCTCGGCCAACTCCCCTCCACCTAAGCCGCTCTAACACTCTCTGTGAATGAGAGTGGTCGAGTGCCTGCTGGAAATGATAATTGTTGAATGCACATATCAGAATCAGAATATTTCTTTAGACCAGAGGAATCCGATGGGCAGCCGCCGCTGCTACCCTCTGCTACCCCCATAGTCGGGGGTCTCCCCTCCCCCTCGTGCAGCGTCCACAATCGGGACCGTTGCTTCGCGCTCCCTGTGCTGCTGCTGATCGACGCTGCGTGTCACCGCCGTCGCGCATTGCAGAGATCTGCGCCGTGTCGCGCATCTCCAAGAAGGAGATCGGCCGCTGCTTCAAGCTCATCCTGAAGGCGCTGGAGACCAGCGTGGACCTCATCACCACCGGGGACTTCATGTCCAGGTTCTGCTCCAACCTCGGTCTCCCCAAGGCTGTCCAGGTTTGTCCCCGTGTGTGTGTCAGTTGAGGTTGGGGAGCGGTAGTGTAGCTGTTAGCGCTACGCTGCACTACGAACCTGGCGACACGAGTTCGATTCCCGCTCACGGCCAACACAGGTGACGATTATCTGAACCGGTCCTGGACGTCTCCAAGTTTCACTCAAATGAGTACCTGGTACGGTGTGTAAACATCGCCACGGGGGAGACAAAGGGGTCTGGGCGTGGTGTTGGCCACCTACCCCCTCGTGTGCCGTTCTGGCCTTCATTGGTGCTCGCTAACAGCACTTGCCCCAACAGTCGGTTGAGGCTACACGGGTAATCTTTGTGTGTGTGGGGAGCGCTGGTGCAGCGGTTGGTGCGCTGCGCTACGAACCCAGGGGACCCGAGCTCAATTCCCACTTGCGGCTAACAACACAAGTGACAATTATCTGAACCACTACTGGGCCTCCCCTAGGTCGACTCGGCCTCAATTGAGTACCTGGTGCAAGATGTAAATATCACAACTAGGGTGACAAGGGCGACCGGGCGTGGCGCTGGCCACTCTCCCCCTCGTTCGCCAACAGAACTTGCTCCAACAGTCTATTAAGGCTATACAGGGGGTCTGTGCATGTCTGCATGTGTACCGTGTGTGCGTATACCGTGTGTGAGCATGTACCGTGTGTGTACACATGTTCCGTGCGTGTACCGTGTCTGCACGTAGCGTGTGCGTGCACCGAGCGTGTACCGTGTGTACAATGTGTGTGTACCGTGTGCGTGCGCCGTGCGTGTGTGTACAATGTGCGTGTGTGTACCTTGCGTGTGTACAATGTGCGTGTGTGTACTGTGCGTGTGTGTACCGTGCGTGTACCGTGTGTGTGTGTACAATGTGCGTGTGTGTACCGTGCATGTGTACAATGTGCGTGTGTGCACCTTGCGTGTACCGTGCGTGTGTGTACAATGTGCGTGTGTGTGTACCGTGCGTGTGTGTACCGTGTGTGTACCGTGCGTGTATACAATGTGCGTGTGTGTACCGTGCGTGTGTGTACCGTGCGTGTGTGTACAATGTGCGTGTGTGTACCTTGCGTGTGTACAATGTGCGTGTGTGTACCTTGCGTGTACCGTGCGTGTGTGTACAATGCGCGTGTGTGTACCTTGCGTGTACCGTGCGTGTGTGTACAATGTGCGTGTGTGTACCGTGTGTGTACCGTGCGTGTGTACAATGTGCGTGTGTGTACCTTGCGTGTGTGTACCGTGCGTGTGTGTACAATGTGCGTGTGTGTACCTTGCGTGTGTGTACAATGTGCGTGTGTGTACCGTGCGTGCGTGTACCGTGCGTGTGTGTACAATGTGCGTGTGTGTACCGTGCATGTGTACAATGTGCGTGTGTGTACCTTGCGTGTACCGTGCGTGTCTGTACAATGTGCGTGTGTGTACCGTGTGTGTGTGTACCGTGTGTGTACCGTGCGTGTGTACAATGTGCGTGTGTGTACCTTGTGTGTATAATGTGCGTGTGTGTACCTTGCATGTACCGTGCGTGTGTGTACAATGTGCGTGTGTGTACCTTGCGTGTACCGTGCGTGTGTGTACAATGTGCGTGTGTGTACCTTGCGTGTACAATGTGCGTGTGTGTACAATGTACGTGTGTGTACCGTGCGTGTACCGTGTGTGCGTGCGTCCAGGCTGCGGCCACGCACATTGCGCGCCGCGCCGTGGAGCTGGACCTGGTTCCCGGGCGCAGCCCGATCTCCGTGGCCGCCGCCGCCATCTACATGGCCTCGCAGGCGTCTGCCGACAAGCGCACGCAAAAAGGTAGCACGCGCCATTCTCCCTCTACCCCCCCATCCCCCCCACTCATCACGCCGCCACGCTCCCTCTACCTCCCTCCATCCCCCCCCACTCATCACGCCGCACGCTCCTCCGTTCCCACGACCTGTCTCGTTCTGGCAGCACGTGACGATCCGGTCGCTCAGCCTCCCGCGGCAGTCGGTCACCTCCGATCGTTGGTTCACAATGTCCCGTTCCAAAGTCACGAGCACATACAGAACTTGACTTTGTGGATTCGAAAGTCAATCATTGTTGTTTATCAGTCTAGGCCAGGGGTCGGCTACTCGCAGCTGCAGAGCCGCGCTCGGCTTGTTGAGGGCTGCGTCGTGATGTGATTTGTTAAGGGATCACCATCTCGCATTTAAATGCGTTGCGGCTCTTAAAAACGTAGATTTTTTTTTTCACCGACCCCTGAACATGGAAGTCCAGTTTACCATGGGAGTCCAGTTTACCATGGGCAGGAGTCAGCAACCTGCAGCTTTGGAGTAGCATGCGGCTCTTCAAGGGACTGCTTTGTGACGTTATTTATGAAGAGCTCACCATCTCGTATTTACGTGCGTTGCGGCTCTTGAAAGGTTTTTTTTTGACACCGAATTCAACAAAAATGGCTCCCCTTGTTATTTTTGATTGCCGACTCCCTCGCCTAGATGCTGCGGAGAAGTTTCAGGGTGGTGATGGAAACCTTTTACACGCAGAAAGTAGCGCGGTGAAGTGGCGCTAGCGGTGACGTGGCACCAGCGGTGGAACGTTCGTCGCTTGTTTCGTGGTTCGAATCCAGCAGCCGCCCTGGTTATTCCTTCAAAACACACGCCGTCTCTTTGGGTCTTTCGGTAAAGCCACGTAGATGGGTTTCAAAGAAAATAACAAACAAAAAACTATGGGTTGCGATCGAAACGTTGTAGTTTTTTTTGTTACTTTCTTTGAACCCATCTACGTGACTTTACCGAAAGACCCAAAGAATAAGAATTCCTGCACTCACGAGAGCTTTTAAGTCAAGATTTACACGCCGTCTCCTTCGCAGCGAACGTCAATAGAGAACCCGCAATGCCATTCACAAGCGCAGGCCATTACTTGCCAGCGTCATGGTCCACATTTGAGAAACGACACCGCAAACCGCTCAATTGGGGTCACACACGCGCAGCGGCAATCATCGCCCCCTGCCGGCAGACGGGCGTCCCAGGTCACTCTTGCACATGAGACTCATCCTGGTCTCTTGGCTTCGGTACACAGAATCAACTTGAAATACTAATCAATACGTAACAATAATAAAACTGAACTATTTTTATTTTACCAGGCAAGGCCCACTGAGCGACGTAGCTCTTTCTCGGAAGCGACCTGCAATCACAAACGAGAGCTCGACGATGCGGCTTATCGCGTGGAAATGTATAGCAGCCAAATACTCAAACGCGTGATGTTGATTCTAAACGTGGAGGGAAAAACCAGAGGACCCAGAGACAAATCTACGCGGCAACGGGGAGAGACAGACACGCAAACTCGAAATATACAGCAGGAGTCGGGTATCAAACCAACAACCTCCTGTACACCAGGCGAGGGAGTCAACGTCTCTCCACCGTGGCGCCCACACTGTATCCATCGCGGTTCATTGGTCACACTTCACCTCTCCCCCCGCAGTGCTGGGTTATGGGCATGTGCCGTCAACGCCGCCGCCACCGCCGCACCTGAGGGTGGAGATCCCAGAGAAAACCCGTGGGGTGTTAGAGGAGAAACCCACCACTGTGCCCTGAAGCTCCACAAAGCCGGGTGGCTGCCCATGCTAGGTTACCCCCCTCCCATGAGCGGCTCTCGTACGTTCAGTCAGAAACCGCTGTGGAGCCCGATTGACGTCAAGCAGCCTTCGTGTGAACGTGCCACCCGCAGCGGCGCGGCTGCTATCGCAAGACCCAGTTGAGGAACCCCACTGTGGTAGTTACTCACCCACTGTGATAGTTACTCACTCACTGTGGTAGTTACTCACTCACTGTGGTAGTTACTCACTCACTGTGGTAGTCACTCACCCACTGTGATAGTTACTCACTCACTGTGGTAGCCACTCACCCACTGTGATAGTTACTCACTCACTGTGGTAGTTACTCACCCACTGTGATAGTTACTCACTCACTGTGGTAGCCACTCACCCTCTGTGGTAGTCACTCACCCACTGTGATAGTTACTCACCCACTGTGGTAGCCACTCACCCACTGTGGTAGTTACTCACCCACTGTGGTAGTTACTCACCCACTGTGGTAGTTACTCACCCACTGTGGTAGTTACTCACCCACTGTAGTAGCCACTCACCCACTGTGGTAGTTACTCACCCACTGTGGTAGTTACTCACCCACTGTGGTAGTTACTCACCCACTGTGGTAGCCACTCACCCACTGTGATAGTTACTCACTGTGGTAGTTACTCACCCACTGTGATAGTTACTCACTCACTGTGGTAGTTACTCACCCACTGTGGTAGTCACTCACCCTCTGTAGTAGCCACTCACCCACTGTGGTAGTTACTCACCCACTGTGATAGTTACTCACTCACTGTGGTAGTTACTCACCCACTGTGGTAGTTACTCACCCACTGTAGTAGCCACTCACCCACTGTGGTAGTTACTCACCCACTGTGGTAGTTACTCACCCACTGTGGTAGTTACTCACCCACTGTGGTAGTTACTCACCCACTGTGGTAGCCACTCACCCACTGTGATAGTTACTCACTCACTGTGGTAGTTACTCACCCACTGTGGTAGTTACTCACCCACTGTGGTAGTTACTCACCCTCTGTAGTAGCCACTCACCCACTGTGGTAGTTACTCACCCACTGTGGTAGTTACTCACCCTCTGTAGTAGCCACTCACCCACTGTGGTAGTTACTCACACACTGTGGTAGTTACTCACCCACTGTGGTAGTTACTCACCCACTGTGGTAGTTACTCACCCACTGTGGTAGCCACTCACCCACTGTGATAGTTACTCACTCACTGTGGTAGTTACTCACCCACTGTGGTAGTTACTCACCCACTGTGGTAGTTACTCACCCACTGTGGTAGTTACTCACCCACTGTGGTAGCCACTCACCCACTGTGATAGTTACTCACTCACTGTGGTAGTTACTCACCCACTGTGGTAGTTACTCACCCACTGTGGTAGTTACTCACCCACTGTGGTAGTTACTCACCCACTGTGGTAGTTACTCACCCACTGTGGTAGCCACTCACCCACTGTGATAGTTACTCACTCACTGTGGTAGCTACTCACCCACTGTGGTAGTCACTCACCCTCTGTGGTAGTTACTCACCCACGGTGCTAGCCACTCGCCCACTGTGCTAGCCACTCACCCACTGTGGTAGCCACTCACCCACTGTGGTAGCCACTCACCCACTGGTAGTCACCCACTGTGGTAGTCACCCACTGTGGTAGTCACTCACCCACTGTATTAGCCACTCACCCACTGTGGTAGCCACTCACCCACTGGTAGTCACCCACTGTGGTAGTCACCCACTGTGGTAGTCACTCACCCACTGTATTAGCCACTCACCCACTGGTAGTCACCCACTGTGGTAGTCAATCTGTGGCGGTAGCTAAGGCCGCTCCGCTGGGGCGAGACGGCGCCCGACGGCTTCCCGTGTCTCTGGGGGATGGAGTCGGGGGCGGCGCGGTGCCGGCAACCGTTACCCCGGAGCCATGAGGCGTCGCGTTGCCACGCGTCAATTCACCGGTGCACACCGACTCTTGCGCTTCCAATGCGTGCGTCGGACAGTGCGCGTGCGAGCATCGCTTTCACGTAAATGAGTGTGTATAAACTATTGTTTTTATTGGACCAGGTAAGGCCCACTGAGTAATATAGCTCTTTCTCAGAAGTGATCTGGCCACAATTGATTTCTCAACGAAGTGGTTTACCTTATGGAAGCAGCCAAATACGCATGATGATTCTAAATGTGGAGGGAAAAGCCGGAGAAAAATCCATGCTACCACGGGGAGAGAGACACGCAAACTCCAAATATACAGCAGGTGTTGGGATTGCAATTGAACCTACGACCTCTTGCACGCAAGGCGAGGTATTTAACATCTCGCCACCTTGGTGTTGCGTCGTCAACGCGTCCGAGAGGATCCACGTGGCAAAATTTAAGAACAGACAGACGTCGATTCTTATATTCAAGGGCAACCCTGAATCGTAACGATTTGAGGGCATCGATCAATTACTTGGTGATGCTCCTGGCAAGCGGGCAGTGGTGCGTGGAATGTAAGCAATGTCAAGATGCGTCGTCAACGCTGCGCTTGCGTGCTCTTAAGAAGGGCCATTGCCTGAAACGTCACTCACTGCACACATTTCCTTTAAGGAGCCACGGCATTTTTAACGAATGTGTCGAGTCCGTCTGAGAGGTTGCTTGGTGAGGTTGCAGGGGGGCAGCTTCCCGAGAGATGCGTCGGCATTGCCCCCACCCCACCCCCCCCACCCCCCCCACCCCTCCCACCCCCCCCACCCCCCCCACCCCTCCCACCGCCCTGTCAGCCCGGAGAGGGGCGCGAGCGATGGGCCCAACGTTCGTCAAGACGTCTTTAGCATGGGCCGGTGGAGGGTGGTGGCAGAGTTCAGACAGGGCGCTGAGTCGGAGCCACTGAGATGATGCTGTGATTTAAACTGGGTTCCGAGTTGATGGCCTCGGTTTTGTCACCGATGACAGTGCGGACAAAACTGTAGCTCGTAACATGTTAGTCGTGCACTCAGTCTGGCTGAATTTCCAGCCGCGGGCGGCACGGATTTCGCTCGCTGGGTCAGAGCGCGAGGCGGGGGGAGTACCGCCCCTTACGCAGTGGGCCAGAGGTCGGTCGCTTTATTTAGGGGCTGACCATGGAACGAAGACGGGTCACCGCATCGAGCGCTTTCAGACGCGCTTCTGCGGCAGTCTGGAACGCGCTCTTCCGATATTAGGAAGCCACTGGAGCTATGCACTTTAAAATCTGAATTGAAAACTTCAGAACTGCTCTTTATGTTTAGTTGGTCGTCCTTCCCTCCCCCACACCTCTGATTAGCACTACGTACATACATACACCTTGGTGGGTGGCTCTGTGATATCCGCTTCCACTAGAGGGGTGCACTCCTCTGCGAGAGATGAGATTGCTCGCTTTGCCTCCTGACGAGACACTCACGGCGCAATCGGTACCAAGTTGCGGGGAAAGTAATCTCTAAAGAGCAAAACACAATTCAGGGCACGAGGCACAAACTGCGAGCGTGAACCCGATTTGGTAATTTATCGACTCGGACACGATCGCCTCGCCGATGTTGCGGCAATGCTGCCCCGACTGCAACTCGCTCCTCGCCTTCCTGCTCGCACGGATCCCGGGACAGAGCGCACGGAGCCGTCGCCCCGCGGGGCGCTCGTCCCCCATAGCACCGAACGGGCGGCACCGCTATTGCTGCTACTGCTGCTACTGCCGCTGCTGCTGCTGCTGCTACTGCTGCTGCTGCCGCTGCCGCCACCGCCAGCTCGCGCCGCACCGCGCGTCGCCGGGCTGGCTGCCGCTGCGCCGGCACGGTCGACCGGTTTGCGCCGGCGGCTCCGTTTCACCTTGGGGGGAGACGCGATTGTTAATGAGCCCGGGGAGGTGCGGCTATTTCAGGCGACGTCCGTCACGTGGTTGGTGGGGGGTGGGAGGAAGCGGTGAAGCGGGAGCGTCTCGCGACTCATCGTCACGCGCCGGGCGAGCAAGCGGAGCGCCCAGGGAGGGAGGGCGGTGGGGGGTGGGGGGTGATGGGCGCACTCGTGCGTGTACGTGCGTGTACGTGCGTGTGCGTGCGTGTGCATGCGCGTGCGTGTACGTGCGTGTGTGTTCACGTGCGGGGAGCGGTAGTGCAGCGGTTAGCGCGTTGCTCTTGGAACCCAGCAACCCTAGTTCGATTCCCTCTCACGGCCAACACCGGTGACGATTATCTGAATCGCTTCTGGGCCTCCCCTAGGTCGACTCGGCCTCAAATGAGTGCCTGGTGCGGTGTGTAAAAACATCGCCGCTGGGGAGACAAAAGCAGCCCGGAGTGGTGTTGGCCTCTCACCCCCTCGTGTGCCGTGCCGGCCCGACCTTCATAGGTCCTCGCGGCACTTGCCCCAACAGTCTGTGAAGGCTATACGGGGGATCTTTGTCATTGTTGCGTGCGTGCGTGTTACCGTCGTCCGTATTGTGCGCGGCACATTTAGTCAAAACCAATCGCGCTTCGCACGCGTCCGATGATTGCCAAACGGCGAAATGTGTGCCGCGGCCGAGAGTGAGGACTCGCGTTTGCGAGGCGACGCTCGGCGCAGTCCGGGGATCTTGGCACGTGCATGTGTGTGTGCGAGTGTGTCCGCTCTGCCTCAACACAAGTGTACGTGTGCATAAATGTATGTTCGGTGTGTGTGTGTTTGTGTGCGCGTGTTCATGGTTCGTATGCACGTGTGTGTGTGAACACAACGTTTAATCACGAATGCTTGGTGTCAAGCGGAAGGCTGAGCGGGGTGCGTGCGCTTGTGCCCGCGTGTAGAGATCGGCGACATCGCCGGCGTGGCGGACGTGACGATCCGCCAGTCGTACCGGCTCATCTACCCCAAGGCGTCGCAGCTCTTCCCACAGGACTTCAAGTTCGACACCCCCGTGGAGAAACTCCCCCAGCTGTGATGGGCACGCGGGAGCGGCTGCGCACGCCGACAGCGCACCTGCACCCGTCGGCACCTTCCTCGGGACCCCGACACGCGCACGCGCGGCGCTCGGAAATTCGTTTGCGATGCGGTAACGGGTGTGTGCGGGCGCGCGTGTGCAGATCGGCTCATTAAAACTGCGAGCGGCAGAAGTTGTGAGAAGATTCCGCTGGATGTGGAACGGGACTGCAGACGCCGGACGGGACGGGGGATGAGACGGGACGGGAGAAGGGGACTGGAGACTCGGGATGGGAGAGAAGGGGGGGAGACGGGACGGGAGACGGGACGGGAGACTCGGGATGGGAGAGAAGGGGGAGACGGGATGGGAGATGGGACGGGAGACAGGACGGATGACAAGACATAGACTGGACGCAGAAAGGGACAGGAGACGGGATGGGAGATGTGAAGTATCAGAGGAGCAGAGTGCAGTCAGAGCCTGCACTCTGCACTGACTCGCTGGGACGGACGGGGTGTGGGCGCTTGCGGCTGAAGGAACGATTTGTGTTAATTTAATTGCCGCGAGACGCCGCCGGCGCTGACGAGGACTGGTGTTTTTTTTTGTAATTATTTCGGCAGCGAGGTTTGTGGGGAGGGGCCTGAGTCTAAAAGTGGCTTCAAGGCAGCCATCATTTTTACGAACTCTGGGGTCCTTTCCTCATTTTGTATTTTCGGCAAAAGCGGCTCCCGTCGTGCCGCAGGGGCAGCAGCGTCCGCTCAACGGCGCCTCGTCTCCGTGGCTTGGCCGGGCGGGAGGGGTGGGTGGGGTGGGTGGGTGGTGGGTGGGGTCTCGTGTCAATCGCTCGTGCGATAACCTCACTGTCGCGAGCGAGCGAGGAAGTGTAGCAGCGACGGCCGCACGCGCACAAACGAACAAACGAACCGGCGCGGTTCGGGGCCAGCGCCGCCGGCAGCGGCCGCTCAGCCGGTGGTCTCCCGGCGCCACCCGCCGACCCGCGGCAGCGGCGGCGTTGTTGTTGTTGCTGGAGCAGTAAACACTCGGACGCCGTCGTGCCGAGTCCGAGACCAACGCACAACGTCAATGGTCACGCGAGGAAGAGGAGAGATGCTGCCGATGTTGAGGCTGTGCCAATGCTTGTTTATACGTGCTAATAAGAGTCACGACCTTTGTTTTAGCCAGTAAAGCCTTGCTGCTGCTGCTGCTGCTTGCTGCTTGCTGCATCGCGAGTTTCTCTGGAGTCGTCCTGCATGGGAGTGTTTGGCCATTTTGGGTTTTGTGGGAGGGGGGAGCCACAGCAGCAGGTGAGGGCCTCGCCACGCCCGGACTCGCACGGACACGACGGCCACTCGCCCACTCGCCCACTCGCCCACTCGCCCACTTGCCCACTCACCCACTCGCCCACGAGCCCGCTCGCCCACTTACCCGCTCGCCCACTTACCCGCTCGCCCACTTACCCGCTCGCCCACTTACCCGCTCGCCCACTTACCCGCTCTCGCCCACTTACCCGCTCGCCCACTTACCCACTCGCCCACTTACCCACTCGCCACTCGCCCACTAGTCCGCTCGCCGCCACACTGCCATCTAATCCGTCATCTCGTACCCACTGCGTGTTTGTAGCGTCCCGGCACGTACTGATCTCCCGAGAGATCCACCAAGCCCACCTCTAAAGGGCGTGCACCCGCCCACGCAGCCCGACAGTTGCAGGGACGGTGACGCTGCGACGGCACTTGCCGTCCAATCTGAAAGTTCCAAGTTGGATTCCCCGTCGCGGTTTATAAATCGGAGACCGTTTGGTGGGAAGTCGTCAGTCGTCACCCGATGGATGGATCGGCCCCCGCGATTGATTTGTGGAGTTTCCACCACTGCCAATCGGGATGAGTGCCACCCCACGCTTGTTTGTGCGTGCGATGCCGAGCTTGTAGGGAAGTCTTCATATGCAGAGGACTGCAGAGCATGGGCAATTGTTGGTAGCACCGCCTGGCGCTTGGCTTTTCCGCTTGCCTGCGATCCCTCCTCGCGCGCCTTCCAAGTCATTCCATCTCTCACTCGTCGAGAGCAAGCGAATAACTGCGCTGCGCGTTGCAAGTTTAAATTATTATCGTGAGGTATTGGAGCTGGACCGATGATCCCCCAATTGGGATGAAACCGGTTTGCAAATTGCCTTTGCGCATCACTCCCACTGCAACGTGCAGAGCTGAAAGCTGCCCAGGTGGCGGTGGTGGCAGCGCTGAGGATGAACAAACCTCCGGTTCCCGCGTTGCCCTCGGAAATTTGCGTTGTCCCGAGCGTAGCACTCACGAATCTCCCGCGGACCTGTAGCCTCCGCGGCCCTTCCCGACTCGTGAACAAGCAGAAGCCGGCTTGTTTCCCGGAGCTTCGCGTATATGGCAATTGATTCGTCGCAACTGGGCTTCGTGCGGCGTGGTTCCCCCTGGTGTCACGTGCGAGTTACCCGCGTGTAATGCATGGCATGAGTTGAAGATGTAGTCATCCCACTTCCCCCCCCCCCTCAGCTAGGGACAAGGCTAGCCACTCTTGGCCCTTTGGCCCCCCACCCATGGTCAACTCTGTCTGCAGCGGTGGATTTTCCGTTACGTTGCCCACCCCCCATCAAGTTCATAATTGTGGTGATGGTTAGAGGATTGGGTTCTCGGTGGCCTTGGTAATGGGATTTCCACCAGGATTGGGGCTATGGCCAGAGCCGTCCCTGGGGTACGGCGGATCGGGACGACCTCCCCGGGCCCCGCAATTTGGGGGACCTTGCGCTGCGAAGTCACGCTGTCGATCGTCATACTTCTGGTTTAGTTTGAAGGCGTCGGGGGGGGGGGGGGGGGGGCCCTGGGCTATGGCTGTAGTGAGCGTGGGGCTAGGGCCATGTTGGAACAATGTTCACGAATATTGATGTGGCTGGGTGGGGGGGGAGTGTGGTTTTGGTTTAACTGAGGCGGCTTGCCAGAGATGGGGTTAAGGGTAATGAGCCTTGAAGAGTTTTGCTAAGGTTAAGTGTTAGGATTGCGGTAAGATTTATGGTTGTTAGGGCTGGGGTTAGGGTTAAGTTAAGGTTGAATTGAACAAGTCACCAATTGCATAACGGAGCACAAATGATTCCACATCCTGTCCCCCTGACGAGATGCGTTACTGCTTTGGGCATCACGGCCCCTGGGAAATCTGCGGTGCGACGATGCACGGACACGCCCAAGTACCCGAAACGATTCCCTGCATCATCTCGCACCGAGTCACATTCATTCTCCCACACGCTCAGCTGGTGCCCAGAGGTTCACCAACTGGGTGGGCTTCCTGCCAGCTTACGACCAACAGCACCACGGGCTCTGCCAAGCACACTTCCCCGTTCCGATCCTTTACTCGGCGATCTTGTCGCAGCCCGTCGTAATTGGTGCCAGTGAGCCCTGCGGTGGAAATTCCACATTCCTATGGCGGGGTCTAATTGTACGCGTGTGCACGGTACAAAAATAAGTGACGCATGCCAGAATAAAGGATCTCAGGTGCTGAACGTGGATTTAACTAAAGCGGATTAAAAACAAATGAAATTTTATTTTACCAGGTCAGGCCCACTGACAGTGTGTAGATCTTTTTCAGAAGCGACCTTGCCACAAATGATAGCTCAAAGAAGTGGCTTATCACGTGGAAATTCACAGCAGCCCAAATTTATCTCTAAACATTCACAGCGACGTTAGGTGGGGGGAAAAAAGCGTTTGAAGATCTAAATGTGATGGCGTTAGGAATTCTTGTTTTAAGCGACTGCTGCCAACTTACAGAAATTGCTGCCCCCCCCTACCCCCCTACCCACGGACTCAAGGGTTTACCCGCAGCACCAAAACCAAACCCGTGTTCCAAGGGGAAATTATCCAAAGGTTGGACGCCCCAGTATTATTGCTTTCCCTTCTCTACCACTGGTCGGCCCATGGGCGCAGACCCAAGGTATCGCTTGGCGGTGCTGCCACCCGAGATGGCTAACCTTGAGGTACCAACGTTTGAGAACGGATCTGCTACTCGCAACCAAAGGAACGCGATGGACCGAATGGGGCCCGGTCCTCACGACTGCAATCGTCGTCTTCGTGTGAAAGTGAATTACGCCGCCGTATTGTTTCATTATCCTGTCGCACAATCCACTCCGCTCATTCATTCGTAGCCATTCACGCAAACCGGTGTTGCTCAACATTTGCCATCTCTAGCGAGTACCGAATTTCCACTCTGGCCCATGGTGACCGACGGTTTGCGTCCCGTCTGTCCGTCGGGAAACACTACGGCTCTGTCGCAACGGCGCAGACGCCCGGCCACGTTCCTCAACAATGCAACGGTGTGACCCAAGACATCATAATTGGTAAATATACCGAAACAAAATATTCCAATTTAGTGCATTTGGTATTTGCGCCACGCGTATTGCACAAGGCCAGCGTCAGCCGACGAGCTCGTAACTCGCCCCGCGTGCTATCGGTGTGTGACGCTCGCCGCGATGATGAACAATCCCCGCGGCCCACGGCTGATTTTGACATCTGTGCAACCCGGGGGACTGCGGTCTCCTGCACGGAGACACTGCCGCCCGTGATTTCAAGCCAGCTCATTCCGGTGGGTCGCATCGAATGAAGCCCTGTCCACCCACGCCAACCCTCTCCACACACCACGCTGACCGCTGCAGTCGCGCCTGGGACGTCTCCGCAGCCCAAGACGCCCACCGCTGGAGATGTTACGCGGCAGTGCCTGGAGTCTGTGTGGCCGTAATGACGTTTATTTGCGACAAAATACTTTGAGAACTTTTTTTTTGTTATTTCTTTTTGTTAAAACGCAAAATAAATGGATTCCTGCATGCCAGTGTCCGCGTGGTGAACGGGGGGGGGGGGGTGGTCCATGAGGGCCCACCGAGAAGTTGTTTTGGCACGAATTTCCCACCAGTGGCTACCTTAAGCCATCGGCATGAACTGCAGTTCCGGCGAGGCCCTCACATCCCCGCGGGCCAGCTGCTGGTCGTCCTGGGACGTGTGCGTGTCACGTACATTTCGAGAATGCAGGCGCCACGGGGGTGGGATGTTAACTACCTCGCCAGATAGGCAGGAGGTCGTGGGATCCATCCCAACGTCTCTCCCCGTGGTCGCGTAAACATGTTCTCCAGGTCCTCCGGTTTTTCCCCTCCACATTTTAAAATCGTGCAGTAAATATCCACGTGATTAGCCACTTGGCTGAGTTTTCATTTGTGGCCAAGTCACTTCTAAAAAAGCGCTACGTAGCTCAGTGGGCCGAACCTGGTCAAATAAAGTTTTTCGGAGTTTTCGATGCATTTCGGAGGCACTCGTCCGGCATAGTTGTACAGGAGTGTCCGATGCTTTGTATACATAGGCGAAGAGCATTGTTGGTTGTGATATAATTGATTGAAGGTGTTGAATGAACTTGTATAGATGTCACGTAGGTAAAAAATTAATAAAAAATAATAAAAATCACGACGTTTCGGAGGCAACACAAGCTTCCGTCTTCAGGTGGAATTTAAAATTTTCACCTACGTGACTTTACCGAAAAAACCTAAGAATATGAATCCTTGCAGTCACGAAAGCTTCAAATCTAGAATTGTATAGATGTATAAAGCGCCTTATTCAAAGGCGCTTTACAGCGATTGTAAATATGGGGTTGTTAAAAGTGGTGCAGTTATGGTGGCAGAATTGACGGGTGAGGTTAAAGAGGGGTGGTACGGGTAGTGGTACGGGTAGTGGTACGGGAAGTGGTACGGGAAGTGGTACGGGTAGTGGTACGGTGGTACGGGTTGGGATCGGCCTGGTCGTGATGGGGGCAGTGAGGAGCAGTCGCAAGGATGGGCTCGGAGGAGAAGCGGTGGGGGTTGTGCTTTGAAGGTCGGGGGACGGAAGCTGCAGCTCGGTGAAGGAGATTACTGCATTGCGCCGATGGCCAACGACGGCTCGCCTGGAGCAGCTCGCTCTCGATGCGAGTCGCGTACCACGTGTGTCAAGCGCTCTGCTTGAGATGCTGCCACCGGCGGATGGGACGGGCGGCTCTTCCGACAAACGACGACGCGGCGTTACGGTTCCATCCCCAGATCGTAAACTCCTCTCGCGCCGCACAGGGGAGACCCCGTTTCTCCGCGTCTCACTGCGAACGTGCCAAAAATGAAACACGAGTCCTACTTGGCGTTTGAGTTACGCTTCAGAAGCCTGCGAGGCTGACGGGACGGAAACATTTTATTTTTCGATCGCGAAACAGACCTTCCTTCGCCGGCTATACGTAGAGCGCTTCACCCGACGTACGCCGCTCACAGGCAGTCGAGGAGATTGGTTGTCCTTCCCCCGCACCTCCCATCAGCACGGTTGGCTACGTGGGGTGCGAAACAAGTCCAACAGACATGCTCGTGTCTCCTCGCACACCGACTAGTGCAGGGGTCGCTAACTAAAGCAACGAGACATTTCAAGAGCCGCATTGCACTGTGGTGCACTTCCACGGTGAACTGGACTTCCACGGTGAACTGGACTTCCACGGTGAACTGGACTTCCACGGTGAACAGGACTTCCACGGTGAACAGGACTTTCACGGTGAACTGGACTTCCATGGTGAACTGGACTTCAACGGTGAACTGGACTTCCACGGTGAACTAGGGCTTCGATGGTCAGGAGTCGGCAACCAAAACAACAAGAGCCATTTTTTTTCAAGTTTCAAGACCCGCACCGCAGTCCTTAAAGAGCGGCAGCGTGCCGAACCCGGCACTCGAGTCAACTCCGGTCCATTCAGAATGCAGCGGCTAGGGTCCTGACCCACCGCCACTCCTCATTCGGAGCACATCCCTGTTAGTGCACCGCCTCACTCGCTGCCAGCTAAACTCCGTATTGAATTCAAGATCATCACATTTAAGGGCCCTGATTGCTCTCGTACCCCCCCCCCCCCCCGTATACATTCTGGAGCTACTGCGCCCCCACATTCCAATAATAACTGTAAATGTTGTGGGTTTACTCTCAAACACACGTTCATAATTACGCGATCTCACCCCAAAAAACAACCTTCATTATGGATAATATCAGTCGCGGAAACCTACGACTACTACGTGTTAAAAAGAACCCTGGGGTTGACGGTCCTGGATCTACACATCCCCAGAGCGATGCTCCATGGACGGCGATGTGCGGGCCTTCGCTTCCATTGCCCCTCGACTGGAAGTCTCTGGCGAGGGCCGTCGGGCAGTCCGCTTCGAGTTGCGATCTTCCAAGTCCCGCCGACAATAGCTCCTCTTCTTCAGAAGGCCTTTTTATTTGTCATTTTAACTCGGAACCACTTAACTCAAATGTCACGAATGTAAGAAGCACCTTGTATGTACGTTAAACTACGGAGCCAACCGCGCTGATCGGAGTTGAGGTGCGGGGGAAAGTACCGACGTTATGGCGCGCTGCAACTATTATCAGAATCTGAAAATGAACATTTCAACTGGAGTACAGTTGGTGCATCCCTCGGGGGATAACATCACAGCGAGGTGGCCAGCAGATGGCAGTGCAGCACGTGGGGCGGCGACCCCGTGACCTCGCGTCGTCTCGACGTACACGCGTGCGTTCCCCTCCGGGCGCTGCGTCCATCTCCCTCCCTCCCCGCACAGCAGTCATCGACGTCGCACGCAAGGTCACCATGGAAAATCCTCAACCAAGTTGGCGTCCACTCCTGCCCAGTTCACCAACGGCGGGGGGGCCGTGGCCAGCGGTGGAAACTCCCACGCTCCCATAATGGTGCCTCCACCGTCGTACGAGACCAGCTGAGCTTCGTTTGGAACCGCGAAGAGACTCCGTGGCACCGCCGCCGCCGCCCCCCGGGGGGATCGCCTGCCACCCTCACGCCTTGGGGGGCGGCGGCTTCAGAGCGGGCAGCTGCTGCCCCTGGCCCAGCTGCCCCAGCTGCCCCTGTCCCGACTGGCCCAGGACGGAGATGACCCTGGCACCACCCCTGAGCCGGCGCTCGACGTTGGGCTGGAAAAGGAGGCCCGAGGCCCGCTCCAGGCTCTCGAGCGGCACCAGGAAGCGCTCGCGCGGCACGCCGCTCGAGATCGCCTCGTTGGGCATCACGAACGCGCGCAGCTCCACGTCACCCCCCTCCGCGTGCTTCTGCAGGATGAGCAACTGTGAGGGGAGAGAGCAGAGAGAGGCAGAGGTGAGGAAGACGAGAGGGAAGAGAACGGAGAAGAGGAGAGAGCCAAGAGATGGGGACAGAGGGGGGGTAAGATAGGGGAGGGGGGTGGTAGAGATAGAGGCGATATGGAGAGGGGGGAGAGAGCTGAGAGCTGAAGGGGCGAGAGAGGAAGAAGGGAGATGAGGAGTGAGGGAGAGGGGAGATGGTAGAGGGGGGAAGAGGACAGGGGAGAGAGAGAGAGAGGAGAAGGAGGAGAGGGCAGAAGTGGTTTATTTTGAACAGCAAGTCTCATTGAGCCATTTTACTTTGTCTAAACTGTATCCCGTTCGTGCTCCCAGCGTCGCGTCACGGAACGAGGGAATCCATCCGAAAATCTCGCGCAGCAGTGCGACCCCCTGAGCGTGTGTGTTCCAGAAGGGCCCTCGGAAGCAGATGTCACAGAGCTAACCCCGAGATCGCCTGCGGTGACCTCTGGTCCGCACATTAGGGGGGGCACTTTCCCACCAGCTCTGCCACAGAGAGCGATGTTCGTCACGTGACGGTCAAACGTCTATTTTGAGTTCTCAAGAGCTGAAATTCAACAAAGTTAAGTGGCGAACTGAAATAAAGACTTGTGTTTATGCAGTCACCGGTGACCTGGGGCTCAGTGCATCAACTCACTCCACTTCAGAACCCGGTTTAATCACAGGCAGAGGCTGAGACACGGATTCGAACCCAGGTTTCTCAGCGGTGCCGGCTCAACAGAGGTCGCAACCGGGTTTTGATTCCTTACCCGTACCGTACCCGGCTGCACCAGGGTCGCAAACGGGTACCCGTACCCGTACCCGGCCGGGTACGGGTAGGGTACAGGTATCGGGTACCTGATTGCAACCTCTGGGATGAAGCCATGTTGCAGGCGCGGGTGGGTTGATTCTAGGAACTTGAATTGTGAGAAGAGACAAGACGTTGGGAAATGAGTGACAAACAGTTACTCGCCAGTGACTCACGGTCTACCCGTACCCGGCCGCACCAGGGTCGCAAACGGGTACCCGTACCCGGCTGGGTACGGGTTGCTGGGTATCGGATAGGGTACGGGTATCGGGTACCCGGTTGCGACCTCTGCAGCTCAATGCTCTGACCTCTGTAGTTGTTGTGCTACGGACAAACACAGGCGGCCCCTCCCTCCACGAGCAGATATGCGACAAGCCGGTGCTACCAACAATTGCCCAAACTCCCCGATGGTCCTCTATGGTAAGATGTTATCGGCCAATTGATGAATGTTTACACGTGGGAGGAAAGCAGAGCTACGTGGAGAAAACCCACACGTGCGAGGGGGAAACACTGTATCCCATTAACACGTGGCGTCCACATTTTGCCGTACCGGCTTGTGGCGAGCCACGTTACAGCTCCCCTCTTCAATGCCCACGGGCTGGTAGGTTCGCAGCATCCGTAAACCCTCGCTGGTGTCTCCACACAGCGCTGGGTCACAGGCAACCACGTGCGGCGGCGTCTCCGCCACCGCCCGGCTCGTAGAGCTCCGCCTGTGGAGGCGGCTGGGAGGTGCAGGGGAGGGGGGAGGCCATCGCACCTTGAACAGGTGCGTGGGCACGGCCACCGTGTTGGGCCCGATCACCTCGTAACGCACGTAGGTCTTGCCGTCCGCCTCCCTCCTGCACACCGCACACAGCCGCCGTCACTCACCACCACCAGCACCACCACCGGCACCACCACCGGCACCATCACCACCATCGCCGCCACTACCACCACCGCCATCGCCGCCACTACCACCACCGCCATCGCCGCCACTACCACCACCGCCGCCACCACCATTGGCGCCACCGCCACTGCCACCACCACGTGGCCTTAAAGTGCACATAGTCTGGCACAAGCGCCGTGGTGAGGTCATCGCCACTTAGTGGGGAATGGCGGTTGTTGTGTGTGTAGGTACGGTGTGTGTGTGTGTGTATGATGTGTGTGTGTGTATGATGTGTGTGGGTATGATGTGTGTGTGTATCATGTGTGTGGGTATGATGTGTGTGTGTATCATGTGTGTGGGTATGATGTGTGTGTGTATGATGTGTGTGTGTATGATGTGTGTGTGATGTGTGTGTGTATGATGTGTGTGTGTGTATGATGTGTGTGTGTGTATGGTGTGTGTGTGTATGGTGTGTGTGTGTATGTATATGATGTGTGTGTGTGATGTGCGTGTGTATGGTGTGTGTACGGTGTGTGTGTGATGTGCGTGTGTATGGTGTGTGTACGGTGTGTGTATGGTGTGTGTACGGTGTGTGTGTGTGTACGGTGTGTGTGTGTATGGTGTGTGTGTACGATGTGTGTTTGGTGTGTATAGTGTGTGTATGTTGTGTGTGTACGGGTGGCGAGCGTGTGGTGCGTGGTGCGGGGGCCAGGCCGCTGTGCTCACCTGGGCAGGTAGAGAGGCCCGGTGCACACGTAGACGTGTGCGTACTGCTTGGTGAGGCCACGGCAGTACTGCTCCAGGTCATTCCACGCGTTCTGGTTCATCTGAGGGTTCTGCAGCACACACACACAAAGAACAGTTGTCATCGTTGTTACTACTCCGCTCGCTTATCAAACAAATTATCGCCGAGTCTCAAGACCCGTTTCCGGGAGGGTCCTGCCAAGTTTTCACAGTCGGCTGGCGATGTTTGCTGCCCCTTTGTGCAATCCCGATCGAGGGACCTGCAGTGTGATTCTTCAGCATTCGGGGATGTTGTTTGGCTATGTGTTAACTGTGCGCTGGTCAACAACAACAACAAATTTCTGGCCTGGACTTTTGCAGCTGTTCTAGAATAATTTCAGGGTGCTGATTCCAAATCTGATCTCAGATTTGCTCTCTCACATCTCATTTTTATGCTATCGGCATACCCCATTTTCATTGATTTTTACCCGAAATTAACTCTGTCACTTATGATTGCAAGTTGTTGCGAGTCAGTGACTGCTTTAGTGTTAAAATATGGTGCTGTATTTTTAGGATAGTGTGTTTATAATATCATTTTATGTAGATATCCACATTTATTTAATATTTTTCTTCTGAAGTTTTTATTGAAAATGCAATATTTGATATCTCAAAAACTGATGCCAGATTTGGAATCAGCACCCCAAAATTACCTTAAAACCGTTGGAATACCTTATGCCAGAAAAAGTGTGTTGACCAGTGTTATCAGAGCATTTTTTGTTTGTTTGCATGTTCGCAACAAGTACCTGTGGTTAGTGTAAACTTGACGACTTGCAAAAGGTATATTTTTCTTCGAACATCTTAACACCTTCAATTTCGATTTAAAGCTTTCGTGACTGCAGGGATTCATCTTCTTGGTTCTTTCGGTAAAGTCACGTAGAAGGGAAGTAATAAAATAATAAAAATAAAACATAATAAAATAATATAATAATATAATAAAATAATATATATAATAAATTAATAAAATAGAATAATATATTAATATAATAAAATAACATACTTATTTTATTATGTTTTATTTTTATTATTTTATTACTTCCCTTCTACGTGACTTCACCGAAAGAACCAAGAAGATGAATCTTAACACCTGTTTTATTGCCAGTAAGGGTAAAACCTATATACCGATGCTCGCAAAAAGTTCCCATAGATGCATCACCCCATCACCATCACCGCATCACCACGATACCATCACCACATCACCCCATCACGGTCACCCCGTCACGGTCACACTCACCGTACTCCCCCCCCCCGCCCCAACGGTGTAGTACCTGCGGCACAATGTTGGTGAGCAGGAAGGTGTCCCGCATGGCCTCGCGCGACGCCTTGTGGTTGGCCGCGGCCGCCATGTGTCCCCGGTCGTAGCCGCTGCCCCGGAAGTCGCCGTTGGTGGCGCGGTGGAATGCGTGCACACTCTCGTCCTCTGCCAGACACACGCCACGCTCCGCCGCTCTAGACACGCCGCTCACAACCAACTCGAGGGGCATAGCCGGAGGGGTCGGCTCAGGACTATAGGGGTCAGTATAGAGCTACAGGATTCGGGTCACAGCTATAGGGGTCATGCCAGGATTACAGGATTCGGGTCACAGCTATAATGTTCAGGACAGGGCTGCAGGATTCAGATCAGGACTATAGGGGTCAGGACAGGGCTACAGGATTCGGGTCACAGCTATAATGTTCAGGACAGTGCTACAGGATTCGGGTCACGGCTATAGGGGTCATGCCAGGGCTACAGAATTCCGGACAAGGCTATAAGGTTCAGGACAGGGCTGCAGGATTCGGGTCAGGACTACAGAGTTCAGGACAGGGCTGCAGGATCTGCATCAGGGCTTTTGGGGTCAGGACAAGAGGCTGGGCTGAAGCCATAGAAGCCTCCGGGTTAGTGCCGAGGCTCTTCCAAGCCACCGCAATCACCCCCCTCCCGCCCACTCCCCCCGCTCACCGAGGAACTCGCAGTTCTGCCTCGTGGCGTCTCCCCGCAGGCCGACCGAGTCGAGTTTCTCCAGCACCCAGGCGGGCGTGCGCGTGCGCGCGTCGTACGACACCAGGTAGGCGGTGCGGGAGCGCAGCTGGGCCACGCCGGGCAGCCCAAACGTGGACAACTCCGCCGCGGAGCTGGGGGCACGCGCACGGCGACACGGAACACGAGACGCTCGCTCGGCACGAGACACCCCGAGCGAGACACCCAGGTGCGACACCCTCGTAACGGACTCACCGTGTGGGACACCCACTCAAGACGCCCGTGTGGGACACCCGCATTAGACACCCGTGTGTGACACCCGTGTGTGACACCCGTGTGTGACACCCGTGTGTGACACCCGTGTGTGACACCCGTGTGTGACACCCGCGTGCACTGAGGACTGGCTGCTTGCGTTGTGGCCGAAACGTCGTGAGAATTGTATTTTATTATGTTTTATTATTATTTTATTATTTCCCTTCTACGCGACTTTACCGAAAGAACCAAGAAGATGAATCCTTGCAGTCACGAAAACTTTAAATCGAAATTTAAATCAAAATTTTAGTGCTCGGATGGGCGACCGCCGTGCGTTGAACCGGTGCCGTAGGCTGCCACAGGCCTATTTCTTACAGCAGAGGGCAGTCCAGCAAAGGCCATCATCGTGTGACAGCACTCCGCCCCGACATCTACGGCCACCCGCCTTCACCACTCCTGCGCCGACAAGCGCGGTGACGTCTGCTTAAGTGGTCCCCCGAAACCTGCACGGCATGGCGAGGCCCTCATCCAGCAGAGGATTGACAGAGGGGGCTGTTGTATACTAACCTTCTTCCAAAATTGAGATTAATAATATTTGATGATTTTTTTTATATATTATCTTTTTACTTGTTTTTTAATGATTGAAACACACCAAGCGCAGCAAACTGCAAAACACCAGGTGTTGTTAAGTAATGAACTGGAGGAGGGCTAGGATGGCAGAATTTGCAACCTTGCTTCAAGGAAAGATAAGGCCTGATGAACGGGCACATGTCACCCGTGCAGGCGGCAGAGACAGTGGGAGTGTCAGCCAGACATAGTTAAGGCAAAAAGCCCAACCATCCTGCATGGTTTTAAAGTAACGTCAAGATTCGAAATTCAACAACAGAGTAGGCTAAATTACCGATCCTCGCGCTCGCTCAAATTGGAGACCAGGCTGCGAGCTACATAAATGAACCATTGCCCATTTGCTAATCCAATACTGAATGTTAATATTACTGAAGTCAAAACGAATTCTATGACCTCAGCACATGGGCAAATAATAGGGCAGTGTCGACTCAAAGGCAATGGAAGAAACAGAGGCGCCTTTGTCTAAATCACAACCACAGAAAGCCAGGAATCATCACTGATTGTGTGTTCAGGGATTCCGAGCTAGTTAGAACACGTGCACAGGGGGGGAGCTGATGTAAACAACCCTGCACGTCTGAACGTGAGGGGGCCTTTGACCTGAAAGTAAGAATAACACTCCCAGAGCAGAAGGTTGGATGACCACAGTGAGACGAGAATAAGAGTGGTGTATATCTCTCAAGGAGGCAGACCCAGCTGAACAACAAGGCTGCGGGGTCACCAGAAGTTCGCATTCGCCTAGTTAAGACAAAAAGCTCAATTATTCTGTATTGCTATTAAAGTAACGTTAAAGTCGGAATTTAACAACAGGGTAGGCTAAAGTTATCGATATTCACACCCACTCCAATTAAACCAGGCCACAAGTTACGCCTACTGAACCATCACCATTATTAAGTCAATATGAAATGTTATTTCCATACTTCAATACTTTCTATACAATTCGACCCGAAGCATATGACAATCAGAACCTTCCTAAGTCAAAATTGAATCGCACCCAGACAGGAGCGAATAGTCAATATAAGGTTGAAGAGGGAAGGAAATCAAGAGCACGGCGAACTGCAAACGTAAGCAAAAGCCGGGAACAACACCAGCCCAGCAACAGCGAGTGGGGCTTCGACAGGCCATAAAGTAGAATAATAACTCCCGGGGTCAGGGGACACAAGAAGAAGCAGGCAGACAAAAACCAGAACTGACTCCAAGGTTCAACCGCCCTCACCTACTCAGGAGTGACGGAAATTAATGAGGCCTTGAATTAACGGCAGGCAACAACAACGGCGAGCAGAGATAGGGTGGGGCAAAGACTGCGGGCTATGAATGCAACTTCGTGTCAGTAAAGCCCTGACAAACAAGTTAAGTTAAAGACATCACAATACATAGTATCGCACATAACATCAATGTTAACTCTATTCACCATAAACTATATTCCGCTTATATAACCATCCAGGCACCAAGGAATACGAATTCCTAGGATCAAGAAACTTACCCCTTAACCTAAGATATCGGAAATAAATTTATAGTAATAAGTATATGCATGAAAGACAAAAGTAAAACTTATGGAAAAGCCAGGATAACGGGATGAATCACAACCAGGTCGAATATAATACATAATAAAAAAAAACGATGTTAAACCCAGGGTCGGAGAGAAAGGGAGATCCCGGCCGTCTTTGTATCCCCGCAGCGCGGGATAGGAGTGTGTGTACGCTCGGGGAAACACCTACACTTGGGTCGGGCACCACGATGGGAAACGACAGACCTTAGGTTACATACAGAATCATAACTGTGAAATAGTAAGGGACAAATGTTAACTTAAAACTTTTTAACCATTTCTTTGTGCGCCGGGTCGGAGAGAGTGTTGCCCCTCCCTCCAGGTTCTGCAACACGAACAAAGACGCCTATGAGACGATTTGTAACGTCTGTGTTTTGGGTCATGAAGAAGGCCAGACAAGAGATAATATTGCACCCAGACAGAGAGACGACTTCGAGGCAATTTGTAACATCTGATTGTTTGCTCGTGGGTTTTATGGAGGGAGTGTGACAACGAATATACCGTCAGTGATGCACACAAGGACACACGGACATACGGACAGACACATGGACACACCTGCCTACGGACAGATCCTGACATAGCAAAAATCGAAAAGAAGCCCCGCCTTGTGGGCGGGATCCAGGGGGATTTTTCGGCATAAAGTAAAGGATCCTGAGCATTGGAACCAGTGCGACGGGAGGGTCCACTCAGAAGCTCGACCGGGAGGGTCGACTCAGGAACGAGTGCGACGAGAGGGTCCACTCAGGAGCGCGACCGGGAGAGTCGGCTCAGGAGGAGTGCGACCAGTGGGTCCACTCAGGAGTGCGACCAGAGGGTCGACTCAGGAGCGAGGGCGACCAGCGGGTCGACCCAGGAGCGAGCTCGACCGGGAGGGTCGACTCAGGAGCGAGCTGCGACCAGCGGGTCGGCTCGACTCATCTTCAGCTCGTCAACCTCTGCCGAACCGGGGGTCTCTGCTGCCACCGGAGTGGTGAGCATCGCGGATCGGGGACAACCCAGAGCTGCACGCTACGAGCGAGTTGTGGGCGCCACCTACCGACCGGGTTCCGAACTGCGACAGCGTATCAACAGGCATCCGAACCAGTTCGCCACGGTGACAGGGGATCAACTGATACGTATGACGCGCACCGCCCCCTCACCACACGACCACCAGGCGTCTGTTTGACCTAAAGAATCGACTCCGAACACTGACTATTCAAGACAACTCTTACCACTCAAAAACACTCGAACCCATAAGCCATCCGTGGCTGGAAAGCATCGCAACGAGACCGAGTGATGGCCCTCCGTCGTTTATAAGAGTATTCTTAATTTTTATCTTTAATATTTAGTGGGCTGTACTCTTAATCGCATAAATTCCCAACAGATCCATCAATACGAACTGATTCTTGGCACCTCCTTCCGCCGAGCCACGCTCACGTGGGGAGTGGTGGCCCACCGGACCCTTATCAGGTGATCTGGTCCCCAATTAGTAAACTTGGTATAAGATAACGAGCTTCGGAAAAGGAGCACCGTCGCAGGCCCTTACTCCGAGCCGTTCTGTTGTCAGATAACCTGCCGATGTATCTGTTGAGATTGGTGCCTTTAAGAATAATAACTGTTTCTGATTGTGTTTTTTTTTTATCGCCGTATAATCTTTCAAGTATCTTTCAGTCATAATCGCCGCACGTACTCGCATCCTCTACAGAATATTCAACTGTTCCGTGACCCAAGGTGTTAACAACGTGATAAGGGTTGCGTATGATCAATAAGGAGTGCGGTACTGCGTGAACAATATTGAGTATAATCATTCATTAACGTTAAGGTTTTCTTAGCATAGTATTTGCATGTTTTAACGACTCTCTCTCTCACTAACAACCATCGCGTTATGCGGGATCCATGTGCCGTTGTCAAAGTGAAATCAGACAATCGTTGATGATACTGTATTGATGCCGTATTGACGTTCCGGGATTGAGAGTTCGCATACTATATCATAGTTAAGGTTGAATTAGTAATAAATTGATCAATACAGAAGTGGTTGTGTGATTCTTTCCTGAAATCTATGCATAAGATCTGCTTCTGCGTTGAGATTTGAACTTGGTGACCTTAATAAACACACTAATACATACTCAGTAAATGTTAAAGCGATAACGGGGTGAACCGGGGTCTGGTTATCATAACGACTTGCGTTATCATAATTACACCCACTCGCATAATTAATACGATTACCTCTCGAATTGGCATAATTAAAATGTGCGTAATTACATAAATTAACATATTTCCGGATAATTACACATTTGGCCAAATTTCATTTAATTATTATTATTTCCACTGAATATTCATAACCCACATATACAACATAATAATTTCACCCACGCACGCATACAACATAACAAATTTTCATACCCAACATATACAACATAATGGGGGCTCGTCTTCCGGGATCTCTCGCAGACAGTTATGCATGAATTCAGGAACGAATCACTGATGTGTTAATCAAAGTGTTGTGAACTAACGTTGCCTTGTGATTGTAAACGGGGGTATACAAACAAAACGCGCTCTGAAGGGAGATACCAGAGTAGCAGAGTATAACAAAGACAGCTGGGCTGAGATTATTTGCTCGAGTTGAACTGACGCATCCTGTGATACAATTGTTTATATGTGCTCTGAAGGGGAATTCTAGAGTAACTCACGACGCACATGAGATGTTAGAATTAAGATACACTCTTAGTCTATTAACCACACTACATAATAGAG